GTGCAGCTTTGCTTCTTTTGTTGTGGGAGGGCGGGTGGGACTGGGCATGCCATGCTTGACTCGCTCGAGCTGGCTAGCTTGACTCCTACTCCTACTCCTACTCCTCCCCCTCCTCCTACTACTACTCCATCCTCCTCCCATCCTCCTCCTCCTCCTCCTCCTCCACACCTCCACCCCCGCCCTCCTCCCTCCTCCCTCCCCTCCTATCTCCTCCTCCTTCCTCCTCCTCCTCCTCCTCCTCCTCGTCCTCCTCCTCCTCCTCCTCCTCCTCCTCTCCTCCTCCGCTCCTCCCTCATCCTCCCTCATCCTCCTCCTCCCTCCTCCTCCTCCTCCTCCTCCTCCTCCCTACTCCTCCTCCTCCTCGTCCTCGTCCTCCTCCTCCTCCTCCTCCTGGGCCCCAGGATGATCGGCCTGTCGGGCGGGTGGTAATGGGGGTTGGCTCAACAAGTGGGGGGTGAAGAAATGGGCCCTACTGGGGCCCTTCAGGGCCCCTTTTGGGCACCAGCTGGCTCCAAGAGGGGCCCGAGCGTCTTTCGGGCCCTCTTCTTGGCCCCCCGCCTGGGCCACCCCCCACTACCACCCGCCCGAGCCTGGCCAGGATCGGTGAGGTGTTCGGTGGACGTTCTCCGGAAGGCCCTGGCCCGCATGAAGCAGGTCTACGCCTTCCTGGAGCAGCAGCCGGGCGCCGCGCACATCGCCACGAGCGGCACTCACACCGACGCGGGGAACGCGCCCGTGCGCTTCACGAAGTACGAGCAGAACGCGGGAGGCAAGGTCTGCCTCGGTCCGATCGATGCGGTTCGACATCGATGCTGGCCGGCTCGGTCCGGTTCGGTTTCGTTGTTCCCATGATCCTATGCGGCCTTTCGTTGTTCCCGCGAGCTTATGCGGCCCAGTGTTTCCAGTTTGCGCACCCTGGCGCATCTAGTCCGATTCCATTTCGATTATGTGCCGATGCAGCCCGACCCGACGCGCAGTTCGACAGTCGAAAGTCGGCAAATCGGATCGAGTCGAATTCTAGACGCTTCGCGTACCCCCACCAGCCCATTCAGAAACGATGTCCAGGCGAGTTGGGGTGATCAGGGAAGTGCGGGAGCAAAGAGGGGGGCGGCCGAACCGCGCGAAGGAGGGAGAAAGAGGAAGGAAGGGAGGAAGAGAAGGGAGTGGGGAGTAGGAGGATGAATAGGATGAGGAGGAGGGGGATGATGACGAGGAGGAGGAGGAGGAGGAGGAGGAGGAGGAGGAGGAGGAGGAGGAAGAGAAGGAGTGGGGCGTGGAAGGAGGGGCAAGAGGAGGACAGCAAGCAACAAGGCCAGAGGTCTTGGATGCCTCTCGGAGTCTTGGGGTATCTCTTGGGCGCTTCTTGGTGGCCTCATGGGGCGTCTTGGGGGTCTCTTGTCGGTCCTGGGGGGACTCTTGGGCGTTTTGGGTGCCTCGGGGGGGCCTCTTGGGGCCGCTTGGGGTCCTCTTGGGGGCCTCCTGGGGGCCTCCTGGGGGCCTCTCGGGGGCCTCTTGGGCCATCTAGGGGCCATCTGGCGACCTCTTGGGGCCTCCTTGGCGCCTTTGGGGCCATCTTGGAGGAGATCGATCAACGAAGAGGGACGCTCATTTTAGCGTTGCACCCCACCCCCCCATGGGGCCCAAACCTTTGTAAAACCAATGATTTTGGCTTCCTCGCCGAGGCCGTTTTGGACGCTCCAATGGGTCGCGGCACCGCCAGTCCAGGTCCAGGGGAGGGGGTTGGGGGGACCGGTCAAGACGCCCGCCCCGCCCGCAAGCTGTCTCGTTCACTCCCACCCGCCCTCCCAACACATACGTAGCGCCAGAGCCGCGGCATATGCAGCAGTCGTCTTTGGATGGGCAGCTACTGGGGGCCAATCCGCCGCCGCCGCCGCCTCCGCCGCCGCCGCCGCCGCCGCCCGCCGCCGCCGCCGGCGCCGACGCCGCCGCCGCCGCCGCCGTGTCCGCCGCCGCGCCGCACCGCGCCGCCCTCCGCCGCCGCGCGACGCCCCTCTGCCGCCGCATCGCTGCCGGCCCACCGCTGCGCCGCCGCCGCCAGCCCACCCCGCCGCCGCCGCCGCCGCGTCCGCCGCCGCCACCGCCCCCGCCGCCGCCGCCGCCCCCGCCGCCGCTACCCCCGCAGCCGCCACAGCCGCTGCCCCCGCCGCAGCCGCCGGCGCCGCCGCCAAGTGTATTCTGTATTGTTTTTTGTCAGGGATGGTGGGGGGAGGCCGCGTCGGGTTCGCTGCGCATGCCTCGAATTTGGAGACAAAGTGTGTGTTTGTATTGTTTATTGCAAGGGATGGTGGGGGCAGAGTGTGTTCTGAATGTTACCTAACAGCGAAGACTGATAGGTTTCTAATTCCGTAGCCATTTTGGCTCAAGTTTTGGGATTAGTGCCCTTTGACATGGAGTATTAGACAGACTGACTTTCCGCACGAGCTAGGTGCCAAGCCGATCTCTCCAATGATCGTGCCAGACTTATCTGATATTGTCCACCAAGTGGAGCTTATTTGCATTGCGGCCTGCGCCGCTATGCTGCTGGGGCGCCTGGCTTGGCAGTTGTGGACCGAGGGCGCCTCAAGGTCTTGGTTTCACGATTACTATGTTCGATTGCTCGCGTTCTCTACAGTCGTCAGGACGGTCATTCTTGGGAAAGACGGCACTCAACAATCTGTTCACAAGCGCAAGCAATCCATCAGGCTTGCCATGTCACGGAGAAGCTACCAGTTCTTTTGTGTCGCAGCCGTCGGGGTAGTTTTCCCGATCTTTTCTTCCCCGCAGATGACCGCCCGCATACCGTTCCCAGGCGCTTGCATTATGCTTTCTCTGGGGTGATAGTTGTGTCAGTCAATGTGTTTCCTAGCTTGTTGACCCCATCACGACTTCATGTATGGTATTCCCTTCTGTCACTCTCACATGCGATTTCTCTGTCACCGCTGCTGCAATTCGCGGAATCGATCAGCCCCCTCAAGTTTCAAATAGTGTATGATTGCGTAATGTACTGCATGATTGACTTCAGCCTTCCAGCGAATTTGTTTTGGACGACACTCTGCTATCTGTCCGCTGCGTCCACAGCGCTTGCTGGCAAATCCAATGGCATGCCGTGCCACGACCCTAAAACCACAAATGACGTGTTTCTTGCTTGGATTGGGGTCGTTGTATCTTTGGTTATGTTGCACGTCGTGTTCTCAATGGTGGTCAATGCCCTCTTAGAGGCTCAAGCATGTCGGAGCGAGTTGCGCGCCGCAAAGTCGATCTTAGCAGGCGTTTGTGACGCCGTGGTCGAGCTCGATGCCAAGCTGATGCTCGCGTGGCCTTCCGAACAGTTCGCGGCTTTGCTAATGCACAGCGAGCCTCGATCGTTGGCGGGAGTGAGCATATCGTCTTTTCTTGCCGCGGAGGCCGACCGCGACAAGTTTGCCGAACACGTGACCTCCAGTACTGCGTGTGACGATTTCTGCACGGCTTTTCACGTCAAACTGCGGGACACTTGTGGCATCTCTGTGTCGGTGGAAGTGTTCTGCGTGCGCTTCCGTAGTGGTGATGAAAAGGAGTCGTACCTTGTCGGCTTTCGAGAATTTGCCGACCTGCCTCCACCAAGGACGCACCCGAGAGTGCCGACAATGCCTAGTGCTGAAATGAATATGGATGTTCAGGGCCGGGGTGCGTCGCACGAGACTGAACACGGTGATTCTGGCACCAATTCTGAAGGGGAGTCTGGCGTATCGTCTTCTATTTCCGAGGTTGCTGTTTGGGTCGACGGTATGTCACCAGGGTTAACCATGTTGCGTTGCACCACTGCCTTCGAGATGTTAGTTGGCAGCTCTTGGGCGCACATCTGTGCCACCCAGAGAACTCTTCTGCCATGTACTCGGCCAGATCAGCGAAATGACTTGAAGTGGTGGGTTCGTCATGCCTGCGAGGAGTCCACTAGACTCGAGCTGCCCGCTGTGGACGATGTTTCAGTAAGCAGCATCATCGTATGCGTTTCGCCATCGAGAACTCGCTGAGAGTGTCCGTGGATCCGCCAGGCGGCGAGGACTGGACTGAGGGCCTGGACCGACCTTCGTGCGTGGTGAAGCTGGTTCTCGAGAACTCCAAGTGGATCCAGGATCAGCGTTGGACCAGGCGCGTCAGCGCGCCCGTGCGCTCTCACGCCCCTTTGTCAGCAGGCGTCCTCGAGTCGGATGGCGCTGACGCGGCCGCGGCCGCGGCCCCGGAGGACGCCGGCAACACCCTGACCCCACCGCGACTCATCGACCAGGCGGCACAGTCGGTGGTAACGAGCGGGCCGCGTCTCGAGGCCCCCGCGGGCGCTGGCGCGTCTCCGCCTGAGGCTGACAGCGCCCAGAGGTCAGACAGCATGGGGAGCCGCGCGACTGGTAGCGGGTCGATCTCGTCGCTCTGACTTGCAGTGTTGGCTGGGGAGTGGAGGACGGGGAGTAGAGATGGAGAAGGAAAAAACGGAGGACGAGGAGAAAACAACTGCACATTTGGCCAATCTAGGGGGCCCGCCCGCCTTCACGCGAGCGTGAGAGCTTTTCTAGAGGCGCCCGCGCCTCACCAGCCTTTCTCCCCTTCCTTCCGTTTTTCTCCTCTCCCTCCGATCAAGCACTGGGGCCCGCCCCCCCTCCTCCCCCCGGTGGACACACGAGCTGCTGCTGTACGTGTGTGAGTTGTTTTCTCGAGGCGCCCCCCTGGGAATGAAACAAAGGGTATGTAGGCAGCTGAAGTGGGATCATGCGGAATCCTATTTAGACCTGCGGCCGTCTGTATGTTTCATGGTTGCACGCCGAGTGGAACACGTCCACCGCGTCGACAGCGAACATACTTTTTCGCGTTGCATGCCGAGTGGAATTCGTCCACCGCGCCCGCAACAGCTCCTCTGCCGCGTGGAATGTGATTCCATTGTTCCGCCCCCCCCCCAAAAAAAAAAAAACTGATAGGTTTCTAATAGGGTCAAAAGAGAGCATCATGACTCCCCAGGGGGGTCTGGGCGGCATCCGGACAAGGATCCGCAGAAGTCGTTTTAAGCAAACAGTTACACACTTCGTGGTCTTCGAGGTCCCAGAACTCCATTCCTGGGCATGATTTTGAATGCATGGAGCCAACTGTAGACCACTTCGTGTTCTTCGAGTTCCCAGAACTCCATTCCTGGGCATGATTTTGAATGCCCGGAGCCAACTGTAGGCCACTTCGTGGTCTTCGAGCTCCCAGAAATTCATTCCTGGGCATGATTTTGAATGCCCAGAGCCAACTGTAGGCCACTTCGTGGTCCTCGAGTTCCCAGAACTTCATTCCTGGGCATGATTTTGAATGCCCGGAGCCAACTGTAGGCCACTTCGTGGTCTTCGAGTTCCCAGAACTCCATTCCTGGGCATGATTTTGAATGCCCGGAGCCAACTGAAGGCCACTTCGTGGTCTTCGAGTTCCCAGAACTCCATTCCTGGGCATGATTTTGAATGCCCGGAGCCAACTGAAGGCCACTTCGTGATCTTCGAGTTCCCAAAACTCCATTCCCGGGCCACATCTTGAATGTTGAGGCAGGCTGATGCTGAGGCTGAGGCAGGCTGAGGCTGAGGCAGGCTGAGGCTGAGGCTGACGCAGGCTGAGGCCGAGGCAGGCTGAGGCTGAGGCTGAGGCAGGCTGAGGCTGAGGCCGAGGCAGGCTGAGGCTGAGGCTGAGGCGAGCCGAGGCAGGCTGAGGCTGAGGCTGAGCTGCTGAGGCTGAGCCTGAGGCTGAGCAGGCTGAGGCTAGGCTTGCGGCAGGCTGATGCTGAGGCAGGCTGGGCTGAGGCTGAGGCAGGCTGAGCTGCGGCTGAGAGCAGGCGAGGCTGAGGCCAGGCTGAAGGCAGACTGAGGCTGAGGCTGAAGCAGGCTGAGGCTGAACTGAGGCTGAAGGCATGCGAGCCCGAGGCTGCGGGGGGGGGGGGCAAGCCGAGGCCTGAGTCCAGGCTGAGGCTGAGTCTGATGCAGGCTGATGCTGAGCTGAGGCCAGGCTGAGGCTGAGGCCGAGGCTGAAGCAGAACTGAGGCTGAGGCTGAAGCTGCTGAGGCTGAGGCTAGAGGCAGGCCTGAGGAGGCTGAGGCTGAGGCTGAGGCTCATGCAGGCTGAGGCTGAGGCAGGCGGAGGCTGAGGCCGAGGCTGAAGGCAGACTGAGACTGAGGCTGAAGCAGGCTTAGGCTGATGCTGAGGCAGGCTGAGGCTGAGGCTGAGGCAGGCTGATGCTGAGGCAGGCTGAGGCTGAGGCTGAGGCTGAGGCAGGCTGAGGCTGATGCCGAGGCTGAAGGAAGACTGAGGCTGAGGCTGAAGCAGGCTGAGGCTGAGGCTGAGGCAGGCTGAGGCTGAGGCTGAGGCAGGCTGATGCTGAGGTAGGCTGAGGCTGAGGCTGAGGCTGAGGCAGGCTCAGGCTGAGGCAGGCTGAGGCAGGCTTGACGCTGAGGCAGGCGCTGATGCAGGCTGAGGCCTGAGGCAGGCGGAGCTGAAGCCGAGCTGAAGGCAGACTGATGCTAGGCTGAAGCGGCTGAGGCTGATGCTGAGGCAGGCTGAGGCTGATGCTGAGGCTGAGGCTGAGGCTGAGGCAGGCTGAGGCTGAGGCTAAGGCAGTCTGAGGCTGAGGCAGGCTGAGCTGAGGCTGAGGCTGAGGCTGAGGCAGGCTGAGGCTGAGGCAGGCTGAGGCTGAGGCCGAGGCTGAAGGCAGACTGAGGCTGAGGCTGAAGCATGCTGAGGCTGAGGCTGAGGCAGGCTGAGGCTGAGGCTGAGGCAGGCTGAGGCTGAGGCTGAGGCTGATGCAGGCTGAGGCTGAGGCAGGCTGAGGCTGAGGCCGAGGCTGAAGGCAGACTGAGGCTGAGGCTGAAGCAGGCTGAGGCTGAGGCTGAGGCAGGCTGAGGCAGAGGCAGGCTGAGGCTGAGGCTGAGGCTGAGGCAGGCTGATGCTGAGGCAGGCTGAGGCTGAGGCTGAGGCTGATGCAGGCTGAGGCTGAGGTAGGCTGAGGCTGAGGCTGAGGCAGGCTGAGGCTGAGGCTGAGGCTGTGACTGCCGTTGCCACTGCGACTGTCATCGCGAATGCGACTACGACTGCGAGAACAGCAGAATTCTACAACTGGATTCTCATCTGAATCTTGGGGGGAATGCTTCCAGATATGCTCCTACACATCGCTGTTAGGTTGCTTTGCCGGGATGTTTTTGTTTGTCAAGGGATGGTGTTGGGGGGGGGGGGCGTCATGGACCTGGGTTGGCTCCCAGTCGCCTGGGGGAGGGGTGTATATTATTAGGGAACAGTGATAAAGGGGGGGGGTAACCCCTCCCAGAAGGGGAAAAAAGGGGGGTGGAAGAGGAAACTCCCTAAACCACCTACGCCCCGAGGGCTGGTGGGAGTTCGACTCGATCCGATTTGCCGGTTTTCTGATGGTTGGTTCGGGGAGGCAGCCGCGTCGTGAAGTTGCTCGAGACCGTCATGGCGGATTCGCAGAAGCTCGAGGACGAGGCGATGACTCAGGACCTCAATTCGCAGACGGAGTACGAGGACTTCATGAAGTCCTCCAACAGGGGGCTCGCGCAGGACCTGAAAACCAAGGCGGGCATGGAGGAGGCCCTTGCAATGGCGAAGATGGATTTGGTGTCGACGAAGGCGGACATCATGTCCACCCTGAAGATCCTCGAGGGGCTGCACGCGTACAAGGGGGACCTGCACAAGAGGCTCTTCCTCCTCCTCCTCCCTCTCCTCCTCCTCCTCCTCCCTCTCCTCCTCCTCCACCTCCTCCTCCGCCGCCGCCTCCTCCTCCTCCTCCTCCTCCTCCTCCTGCTCCTCCTCATCCCCCTTGCGCCACCTCCTCCTCCCTCTCCTCCTCCTGCCCGTCCTCCCTCTGCCTCTGCCACTCCTTAGCTGCGACTTCATCTCGAACAACTTCGAGGCGAGGCAGTCCGCACGGCAAGCGGAGATGGAGGCTCTCGCGGAGGCCAAGGCGCGGGTGCGTAGCCAGGGGAGCCCGAAAAGGGTGCGGAGTACTAGGAGGCGAGGGAGGTGGATGGGAGGACAAGTGAGGAGACGGTGGCGGAGGAAGAGAAGGAGGAGGAGGAGGAGAAGGAGGCGGGGGCGGTGGAGGAAGTT